GACCAAATTGGCACAACGACGCCCTATACGCTCTCTGACCGAAGCGCAGGGATTCATATACACGGCCAATGAGAGTAACTTAAAATTGATCGTGAGCTTTTGACTTTAAATGATCTATATTTCTTGAATTTGTGTGGTTTACATGTATAACTTATCAAGTGACACAGATGCGTCTTTTCAACTTTAGTTCCTTTGAAATTTCAATTATTATTAATTACAGTTCCTAGTCCTATCAGGCCTGTTTTAAGAATGACCACCTTGGTGGGATTGGTTTGTTTTAAATTTGAAAAAGGAGACTACTTATAACTACTATTTACAACTACTGTATACACCTAATCTACTATATACAAATTGCTTATCAAAGCATGTTCTGATAAATTACATTTTTGTGCAAATTAAGTCTTAATTTCGTTAATTATATAATCTATTTTGGCAATGCCTGCCTCTTCATGTAAATTTGTTATTCTAGTGTCGAAAGGACGATCAAGAACCATCTTCAGCACTCTATTCTGAGCGACTTAGATTTTGTTCCTGTGAGTCTGTGCACATGATTCCCACACCGGAGCTGCGTAGAGGATTGCAGGTGCTATGATTTGTTTGTAGACAGCCTTGAGAGGCGGAATCTGCGGCAAATCAGCGGATACAGACACCTAACCAAGGCAGAACACTTGACTATAGTTTTCTCTACATGCGCACGGAAGAGGAGCTTTTCATCAAACAACACCCCGAGATAGGTTACTTCGGCAGACCACTCAACCCTTGTGCCATCCATGATTACAGTACAATATGGAGCCGGTTTCAGTTTAGGCGATTGCCTATGGAGGAACATGATCGCTTGTGTTTTGGAGGCATTGATTTTGATTTTCCACGTGGTGGCATAATCAGCAAAGGCGATAAGGCATCGTTGAAGTTTGTTCGTTATTTCGCGAGGCATCCTTCCTTTGACGGCTATTGTGGTATCATCTGCGAACAGGAAGAACACGCAACCGTCACCGAGGGGAGGAATGTCGGAAGTATAAATGCTGTAAAGCAAGGGGCCCAGCAGACTGCCTTGCGGGACTCCTGCTGGGATGGAAAACGTGTCGGAAAGACAACCATTCAAGGATACCTTAAACGACCTTTGCTGAAGGTAGTTACGGGTGATTTTAACCAGATGTAAAGGGAAGTTGAAGTTACAAAACTTGTACACAAGTCCGTCATGCCAAACATTGTCAACCGCCTTTTCAACGTCTAACAAGGCCATGGCTGTGGACTTGGATACAGCTTTGTTACTTCGGATGTTATTCATCACCCGTACTAGCTGGTGATTGGTGGAGTGCCCCTTTCTGAATCCAAACTGTTCCGGAAGGAGAATGTTGCTTTCCTCGACAAACTTGAGCAAACGATTGAGAATGAGTTTCTCGAACAATTTGCTCAGCGCTGAAAAGAGGCTGATTGGTCTGTAGCTTGAAGACAATGCTGGATCCTTACCGGGTTTGCGGATTGGTATGATTTTTGCTACTTTCCAGATGCTTGGAAAGTAGTGCAGTTCCAAGCATCTGTTGAAGATAGCGGTTAGAAGAAACTGCACTTTCATGCTGAGTCTCTTCAAGATCAAGTTGAATATACCGTCAAACCCGGGAGCTTTCATGTTCCTGGTGCATTTCAGCGCTGAGCAAATCTGTTGTACTGTAATCATATCCGCCGGAGGCACGACACAAGGGGAGCCATCTAGGTTTTGAACGCATTGCGCAACCTGATCATCGAGCGGACTTTGGATAGTCGAGCCAAGCAAATGCGATGAAGCGACATGCTCGCCGATCGCATTTGCTTTCTCCTGTGGGGTGATTAAAAGCCGATCGTCATCATTATCGACTCTGAGAGGTGGAACTGTTTTAGGATGAGTTTTCAGGACCTTGGCTACCTTCCAGAATGGTATGGAGCGGTCATCCAGATTCTGGACAACACGCCCGAAACTTTCATTTCGGAGAGAGTCCATTCTGGAAGCAATCTGCCAATTCACGTTTTTTGCCCAGATCTCCAGTCCTCTGAAACTGGCGTCTACGAACATTTCTCAACCGAATCAGTAATTGGGTGTGGGAATCAATAGCAACAAACTTACCCCTCACAGTAACTTGTCGAACACACGCCTCGTCAGCCACGGATATGGCCTGTTGGAGTCCTTCCAACGCCCGGTCGATGTCATCTACAGTGTCCAGCAGTGGATTTTCATCGATGTTGCTGTCCATCATTCGTCCGTACTGCACCCAGTTGACATGGTGGTTGTCTTTACGCAGGCAGCTTCTAGCAGCAACCACGTTGACACCGACTTCAGTCACCACCGGTTGGTGATCAGAGCTGAGACCGTTGTGCGCCTTCGGCTTGGATAGTCCGAGTTTGACAGGAAAAAGTTCAGAGTGGAGGGATTTCCCGCCGGAGAGATGAAAGTGGGTTCGTCCGGAAATTGAACAGTGTACAGTCCATGTTGTGCGTGGTCGAACAATATACATCCGTTCCGGTTCCTCTGGTAGTTCCGCCAAGCTTCATGACGGGTGTTCAGGTCGCCCCCCACGATGAATCGAGAGCTAGTACGGGTGATGGTGGTCAGGTCCTTTTTGAATTGGATTCCTAGTCCAGTGCTTGCGGTACACTGGCGTGGGCAGTAAACAGCGATGAACCGGACGTTTCCAGTTGGTGATTCCACCTCCACACTAATGGCCTCGATGATAGAAGTGCGGATGTGGGGCAGAGTGCAAAACTTGACTCCCTTTCTGACGAACGCTACACACCCCCCCCCTCCCTGGAGATGGTGCGATCTAGCCGGATAATGTTGTGGTCAGGCAACCAGAAGCTGTCACCGGACTTTAGGTGGGTCTCGGTTAGAAGAACCACGTCGATGCTATGCTTGCGGAGGAAGTCGGCAAACTCAATATGTTTTGCTCTTACAGAGCAAGCGTTCCAGGTAGCGATGGTTAGCGGTTTAAACACCATACTGGATGATGAACTTACCGAGCACTTGGATCTGTTCCGGCTTGTTGCGGCACTTACGTAGAGCACCGGTCATGTTGACGAAAATTTCCATCAGTTCATCCGCTGAAAACAGATCGGGGTTGTTGTTTTGCGCTGTTGGTTGTCTCCAGAATCCAGGGGGGATGGAGAGCTTTGTCCAGCAGAAGATCCAGACGTTTCTTGAGGGGGGGGGGGCGGTTCGCACCCTTGGATTCGCTTGTCCATGAAGAGGTGGAAAGTCCTCCGCCCTGAAAGCCGGGGCCTTATCCTTCCTTCATGCTGGTTGATTTTTGGTGCACGCCTGATTTCGGATGCGCTTGAAATCCTCGCGTTTAGGGCACTGCTTGTTGGATCCTTGGTGAGCACCACCAGAGTTGGCGCATTTTAACGCCACGACTCCATCCGCAGGGCAGTCAAAAGTGGCGTAGTCTTGAGCGCAATTGCCACAGTGTGGCTTAATGTTGCAGTTGCGGGTGCCGTATCCGAAGTTCAGACACCGTTGGCACTGAGTCACATCACGATGGCCGCCACGGTATGGCTCTCAGCGGACGATGATGGAATTGATGGAGCGGATGGCTTTCAGCGCGTTGAGCGTCACCGTTCCCTTCTGGAAGTGTACCAGGAAAAGGCTATCCGGATACGCCTTCACATTTTCGTCCTTCCTTGTCATCCGATAGACGGCACTTGGGGCCAGCTTGTACCGGTCTTTGATTTCAGCTTCGATAAACTTCGGGTCGAAGTTTGGTAGGCCCCTAATGACGACCTTGAATGGCTTTCACCGGGAATGTCGTGGGTGAAGAATTCCACCTTGTAAGTCCTCAGGTTGGCGACGACCAAGTCATACTCCGCTTTGGTACGGAGCACCACCTTGGTGCCGACTCTGCCCAACTTGTATTCGGCTTTAACGCCCAGCGTCGCTAGATCTGGGATCAGCTCATTAAGATGGGCATTTTTCACTACCAATGGAGGTAGCTTCACTTTTGCCGCACTCGGGCCGGCAGAATTTTCGTTGCCGATGGCGTCGCCGAAATCACCGATGTCGCTGGCGTTCGTCGCAGTGACATCGGACTGGCCTCGATTCTTCTTTCTCTTCTTGCTGCGTATTTCAAACACAGCTGGCAGGATATTCCCATCCATGGGGAGAACAGCAAACCTGTTCGAGGTAGGCACACCGGAGCTTCCTTCACCGGGGTTCTGGACCTTCACCGGGCTTCGCGACCGATGCTTCCCCATTTTGGAGCACACACACACGCACGACAAACCACGAAACAGAGAGCGCGAACACTATCGCCACGAACTTTTCAAACAACTCGAGAGAGCGAGCTAACACCGAACTGAACTGCTTGACGATCAAGCAGAGAATGATCTTGAGATCGTGAGCTATTTCACTCAGCCTGTTAGTATATTCGTTGACAAAGTAAAATGTTGGCTATTTTTCCACATATTCAAGTTTTTCCTGGAAAAATGTATAAAATTTTACTCACTCACAGAGTAACCCGATTTTTTTAAATGTTAAGATTAATTCAACTCAGTTACTAAGATACTCTCATCGGCCGTGTAGATATGGGTGTTCAACGCACCGTTCGCAAAAAGTATCCTTTATTTACTAATGTTAACACTTTGTTGAGGAATGACAGCATCTCATACGAAAATAAACAAATAATTCCAAAGGAATTTTTATCATATCTGGCGAGGAATCAATCGAAAATCTACTTACTGAGTTGATATTTTATTTGAAAATTTTACCTTTAATGGGGTACTTAAACATTTTAACATGCAGCATTAAGTATTCATTATTACCTCAGATCGGATCCTCAGGTGTCAGAGAATAATCCATCAATTCCCGTCTCATTTACAGCAAACACCTGTGGCTCGACGAACATCAATCGGCATTCAAAATGCTTCTGGCAGCAACGTTAATTCCCACAACTCCAGGCAACTCTCCGGCCATAATCTCAGAGAAAATCAGCCAGATGATGAAAACTGCTAACTTGTATTTTCTTCCGTTGCAGACACCCCCGATTCGGAATTAACGAACATCACAAGGGATACCATCAAGAATGGTGTTAGAGGACAATACGATTTTCGAAGTGGATTAGTGATAATTAGAGTAGAAATTAGTAGTTGCACAAGTTAGTTCTAAAGTAGTTGTAAATTAAACTCCGGAAATTGAAGTGAGAAGCATTTAAGTAAAACGCTACCCAGAAGAAGAAGAGTGCGTTGAGTGAAAAGTTGAAATAGCTTTCCCTGCTGTCCACCAGTTTGTGCATAAGCTCGTGAAAGTTATTCAACCGAAGAGGCGGTCAAGATAAGAAAATCATACGAACCGATCATAGGAAGAAGAAAGTGTGCTACCCACCGAGGTCAAGCAGCAGACCTAATCACGACGCCTAGCCGGTGGAAAAGTGTGAAAAAGTGTTTGCCATTAGCCTAATCAAGTTTGTCGTTAAAATGTGGAATCGTCTCTCGCCGACCAATTCCAATAAACTGTTGCTCGAACATGGTAATCATAGCAATATTAAATGCAATAATAACAATAACATCACCACCTTCAGCCATCCCAGTAAGACCGGTTCTGCGATTGCCGGTGCCCTATGTGCCGCCGTTAATCCTTCCATCATCGCTGCAACCACCATCACCTCAACCACCAATAAAACCAATAACTCCAACAACAGCAACAACAACAACAACAATAACAATAGAAATAATAAAAATTCCACAACTACCACCACCACCAATTCCACCACTACCACCACTAGAACCAGTAGTAGCAATAATAAGCCCAACAAAATTCTATCCATCGATATGGAAATCCGTATACAAAATAAGTGTATTTCAGCATAGCGGATCACTCTGGAGGGATCGGAACCCCCCTGGATGCAAGGCCCCCTCAAGGTGGCATTTCTGGGGGCCTCCGGTGTTGGACGTACTAGTATCTTGCAGGTAAGGCTTTTGCAATTCTGTAGAAATGGAAAACTAGTATGCTCTAGGTAATTCACTGCGCCAGTTTTGAATAATTTAGTTTGAGCTTCGTGACAATCAATCAGTTGGAAAATAAATTGATTGGACTAATTTTGCATTCATATTTCACTGGTTGTAATGAAAATATAATATTTTTTTTCAATTTCGATAAATTTGCAACTCTGCTCTGAATAATTAATCTCCAATCGACCGACCGTGACTTTGCCGCCGGGCTGTGTGTTATGCACCTGTCACTGTCATTTGAGTCACATCACCGAAACCAGGGCTAACGCTTTCGGATAATTCTATTTGCAGCAATTTTTCAAGCATGACTTCCCGAAGACGCACGTTCGCACCAGCCGCCGGTCGGTGTACCGAAGCTGTCTGGTGTGCGACACTTGCATCCGGGAGCTGATGGTGATCGATGTGCCGCCGCAGAGGCGCTTCCCCGTTGACAATCTCGCCGAGTGGAACAACGGCCACCCGCTGGGACTCCGAACGGTGCACACCTACGTGCTGGTCTACGACATGGGCAACCTCGAGACGTTCCAGGTGAGAGGAAGCGCGAATGCTTTTCCGTTTTTCATCCCTGTCACGGTTGAATGGGAAAACGAATGACTTTTTTTACTTTGGTTTTAACCTTTTGATTTTTTTCCGCAGTACTGCCGCAGCATGCGTGATCAGATCCTAGAGAGCTTTAATCATCGTGATTTCAAAATTATGGTTGTGGGCAACAAACTCGACTTGGTATCGGAAACCATTCCGCACACTCAGGTTGGTATGGAACGGTGATATGGTGCAGGGAATGTTGAAACGTAAAATGATTTGATTTCTTTCTCTTCGCCAATTAGGAATTAAAAGACATCTCCTCTCTGGTCAGGAAACACTGGCGCTGCGGCTACGTCGAGTGTTCTGCAAAGTAAGTACCCGAGAAAAAAAATTCATTGAGATGCTTGGTAATCAACACATAACGCATAATTATGTCTTGTGATGAGCAGTTCCACACAGATTCGCAAATCGTTTCGGATCGACCTTTTACGATTATGATGAAACTTTGCACAGTTGTTTGTTATTGCCCAACATGCAATTTTACATATTTGGTTCCCTAGTTTTTCACACGACTAACACTTGAAAAGGGCTTATGCGAAAATGATACGCATCAATAGAAAAACATATATCTCGTGAACGATTTTTTTGATCGAAACAGTGTCTACTTGTAGCGGACAAGTATTGTGCTTTCCAAGAAAAAATATACACTGTAAAAAATTAATACAAAATTTACAAAATAAATCAAAATTAATTTTTTTTTTAATTTTTTTTTATATTTATTTTGTAGTTTAGATAAAGTTATACCTACTGACACTGTGCATTTGCTGGACAAATCATAAACAAAAAAGTTATGAATTATTGAAGAAATAAGTATTTTCCAAAATACCACCTACAGTTATCAAATATCTTTAAAATAGTGTTCATATTAAAACACATTAAATTTACAACAAAACAGCTCATGATGCTTAAATTGCCCAAAGTTGTTATTTTCGAGATACTCGTAGGTTAAAATTCACTTATCGCATATTTTAAGAAATTTTTGCCCATTTGAGAAATTTACTCAAATTGAATTTCTTTTTAAATTTTTTTTTTATTTATTTTGTAGCTTAGGTAAATTTATACCAACTGACACTGTGTATTTGCTTGGCCAATCATAATTAAAAAGTTATGAATTATTGAAAAAATAAGTATTTTCCAAAATACTACCGATAGTTATTGAATATCTTTGAAATAGTGTTAATATTAAAACACAGTAAATTTACAACAAAAATGCTCTTAATGTTTAAATTGCCCAAAGCTGTTATTTTCGAGATACTCGTAGGTTAAAATTCACTTATCGCATAATTTGAGCAATTTTCGCTCTCTTGAGATGTTATTCGTGAGTGTTCAATCTTTAAATTATTTTTAACAAACTAATTTTCCTAAACTTTGCTGTTCACAGTTTTTTAATCATACGCATGAGTTACGATATAATTAATTATGAGTAACAGACCGTATGGGAAAAGTGTATTTTTCTGTTTGGCCCCATATACGGCTAGCTAGTTTAGCTAATTAGATTTCCCAGTATGGTTAGAAATTTCGTAGCTAACGCATGTCCATAGGTCTAATAGAAAGATAGGTAGAAACAAGTTTATCCTGAAGAATAGCTGCGTGAAATACTTTTGTGAGAATATCTGGTGGAGACCATGAATAAGACTTGTAGAATGCTTTAAAACCCCCATAAAACTTGCATTATTACTTGGGCGTAGTCACGTTTTGTCTGCAGTCAATATTTTATTTAATGTTTTCCTGTAATTATCGTAAATAACAGTTATTCAATAACAGATATTTCAGCCATATATAGGAGAAAATTCGATCATATGGCACAAATAAAACGAAAAAAAAATTAAAGGGTTGTGTCCTAGACACGACCGCAGTATGACGTAGAACCTATCCATCTATCTTTTTTTTTTTTACTTTAAATGATCTTTATTTCTTATGTTTGTGTGGTTTACATGTATGAATTTTCAAGTGACACAGATGCGTCTTTTCAACTTTAGTACATTTGAGATTTTAATTATTATTTACAGTTCCTAGTCCTATCAGGCCTGTTTAGTATATGACCACCTTGGTGGGATTGGTTTGTTTTGAATTTGAAAAAGGAGACTACTTATAACTACTATTTACAACTACAACTAACCTACAACTACTATGTACACCTAACCTACTATATACAAATTGCTTATCAAAGCATGTTCTGATGTATTGCATTTCTGCATAAACCTAGTCTTAATGTCATCAATTTTGAAATCTAATTTTGGAATGTTCGCCTCTTGGTAGAGGTCTGAAATTCTTGTGTCAAAGGGACAATCAAGGATCATCCTAAGCACTCTGTTCTGAGCAACCTGGATTTTGTTCCTGTGAGTCTGAGCACATGATTCCCACACCGGAGCTGCGTAGAGGATCGCAGGTGCTATGATTTGTTTGTAGACAGCCAGTTTGTTCATCCTTGAGAGGCGGGATCTACGGCAAATCAGCGGATACAGACGCCTAACCAAGACGGAACACTTGATTACGGTTTTCTCCACATGCGAGCGGAAGAGGAGCTTTTCGTCAAACAACATCCCGAGATAGGTTACTTCGGCGGACCACTCAACCCTTGTGCCATCCATGATTACAGTACAAGAGAGCGCCGGTTTTAGTTTGGGTGATTGCCGATGGAGGAACATGATTGTTTGTGTTTTGGAAGCATTGATTTTGATTTTCCACGTGGTGGCATAATCAGCAAAGGCGTCAAGACATCGTTGGAGCTTGTTTGTTATTTCGCGAAGCATTCTACCCTTGACGGTTATTGCGGTAGCATATGCGAACAGGAAGAACACGCAACCGTCTCCGATGGGAGGAATGTCTGAAGTGTAGATGCTGTAAAGCAAGGGGCCCAACAGTCTTCCTTGCGGAACTCCTGCTGGGATGGAGAACGTGTTTGAAAGGCAGCCATTCAACGATACCTTAAACGACCTTTGCTGAAGGTAGTTACGGGTGATTTTAACAAGATGCAAAGGAAAGTTGAAGTTTAAAAGCTTGTATACAAGCCCATTGTGCCAGACATTGTCAAACGCTTTCTCAACGTCTAACAATGCCATGGCTGTGGACTTGGATACAGCTTTGTTACTTCGGATGTTATTCATCACCCGTACTAGCTGATGATTTGTGGTATGCCCGTTCCTGAACCCGAACTGTTCGGGTAGGAGAATGTTTTGCTCCTCGACAAACTTGAGCAAACGATTGAGAATAAGTTTCTCGAACAATTTGCTCAGCGCTGAAAGGAGGCTGATTGGTCTGTAGCTTAAAGCTAGCGTTGGGTCCTTCCCGGTTTTGCGGATAGGTATGATTTTCGCTGTCTTCCAGATGCTTGGAAAGTAGTGCTCTGTTGAAGACAGCAGCCAGCAGAGAGTGAACCTTCATGCTGAGATTTTTCAACACTAGGTTGAATATTCCGTCAAACCCGGGGGCCTTCATGTTTTTGGTGCATTTCAGCGCTGAGCAAATCTGTTCCACTGTGATTCTATCCTCCGGAGGGATGGCACAAGGGGAGGAATCAAGGTTGAGCACGCATTGCTCAACCTGAACTTCGAGTGGACTTTGGATGTTGGAACCAAGCAAGTGCGATTTGGCATTATGTTCATCAATCTCATTTGCTTTCTCCTGAGGGGTGATTATGAGCCGATCGTCATCCTTTTCATCTTTGAGTGGTGGAATGGGTTTAGGGTGCGTCTTTAAGACCTTGGCAACTTTCCAGAATGGTCTGGAGCGGTCGTCCAGATTCTGGACAAACCGCCCGAAACTTTCGTTCCGGAGTGAGACCATTCTGGAAGCAATCTCCTTGTTCAGATCAGCCATTTCACGTTTCCTCGCTAGATCTCCATCCGCTAGTCCACTGCTGGCGGCACACTGTCGAGGGCAGTAGACAGCGATGAACTGGACGTATCCAGTCGACGACTCCACCTCCACACCAAGGGCCCGATGATAGAGGTGCGGATATGGGACAGAGTGTGGTATTTTATTCCTTTCTTGACGACGACCGCAACACCACCCCCCCCCCCCCCCAGGAGCTGGTGCGATCAAGCCGGATAATGTTGTGGTCAGGCAACCAGAAGCTGTCACCGGACTTTAGGTGAGTCTCGGTTAGAAGAACCACGTCGATGCTATGCTTGCGGAGGAAGTCGGCAAGCTCAATCTGTTTTGCTCTTACAGAGCAAGCGTTCCAGGTAGAATATCCATCAATCTCTATCTATGGTTTGACCAAGATTATGTGAAATCACAAAATGTTGGCCAACAGAATTGGCCTTTTCAACTGGTGTTATCAGTAAGGATGGGTCTAAGTGGGTCTAACAGAGGAAAGCGGAGGGATCAGTCTCGACTTATTATTCAAAATTTAGGTCATCTTCCAAAATGGTTTTGCACAATCTGGGAGAGAGCGAATCTTTTTGGTAAAATCGTTATTTCTTAGTTCCACCATCCTGGCCTGGATAATTTTGGTTAGCCTATTGACATTGGTCTTCAAGTGGGGCAGCCCAGAACGCTGGAACTGCCTACGAATGGTGTTACGGAGCCTGATAAGATCTTTGGTTGGGCTGTCAAGGTTCAGAGTATGACTCACCTGTCTGGATGCTGGTACGTGCTGCTCCCTGGCACGGGATATCGCCTCTTCGATAGCTTCCAGACACTGATCGACTTCTTCGTACGACTCCGGTAGGACGTCGTAATCGATTGCTGTGTCCACACAGCGCTGATACTGCTGCCAGTTGACACGATGGTAATTTCGCCGGGAAACTTGAAACCTATTGGCCGAGGAACCTACTTCGGCCACCACCGGATAGTGGTCCGAACTCAGTTCCTCATAGGCGATAGGTTGGTAGATGTTATCGACAATGTTGCTGATGAAGATGTTGATTGTGGCATGAGCTCCGGATCGACTCAACCGGGTGGGAGTGTCCAGACACAGAATGTTGTAGGGGGCTTGCTGCAGATCGTTGTATAATATTGTGCCGTTCTGATTTCGCCGAATATTGCCCCAGGCTTGATGCTTGGCGTTCAGGTCGCCAGCGATGACTAAATTTTGCCGCCGTCGTGTTAGCTTGATGATGTCTCTTCGGAGGTCTGCGGCCGGGCCGTCCCTAATGTTGGTTTGCTTGGGGCAGTAGACCGCGATGATGGTGATTGGACCAAGCGATGTGCTCACCTCAATTCCGATGGCTTCGATCATTTTCAGCTGGATGCTTGGTATTAGCCGGCAGCTGATGTTGCTCCTCGCAGCGATGGCCACTCCCCTCCCCCGGAGCTGGTGTGGTCAAGCCTTACGAGCCGAAAACCGAGAAGGAAGACGTTCAGCTCGGGCTTCAAGTGAGTCTCGGTGATGACGGCTATGTCGATGTGCCGTTCGTAGAGAAAGTCAACAAACTCGATGTTTTTGCTCTTCAAGGAGCAAGCATTCCAATTTGCGATCTTGATGGCTTCACGGTCCATACTTAGTGACAAGGGACAGGGCAGCATGTAGCTGTTCAGATGATGATGATGACCTCGGCCACGAGCGTCACAAGTTCCTCCGAGGTGAACGGAGAATCGTCGACAGGTTCACCTGAGACAGCAGCAGCGTATGATAAACCAGGGGCGGTGGATGAGCCTGGAATTGGCTGGGCCGCAGCAGCAGCGAGACGATGCTGAACTGTCCGACTGTTGGGAACCATTTGGATACTCGCAGGGTTGGCTTGTTGGTTGTTGAGCGGAAGCGGGGCTAGGTCCGGAACAGGTGAGTACAGGAGGCGAACGATGATTACGGAGGCGACCGACCTGGTTGTTTATTGTAGCCTTCCGACGGATATTAATGAATTCCACTCGCTTGGGACATCTGCGATTAGAGGTTTGAGGGTTTCTACCGCAGTTGACACACTTTGGCTCTATGTCATCAACTTGCTCACAGGACGCAGTTGAGTGAGTTCCAGCACACTTGCCGCAGTTTGTCTTCATATGGCAGTTGTTGGTGCCATGGCCATAGGAGAGGCAGTTCGTACACTGCGTAACATCATGATGTTGGGGTTTGTAATGTTCCCAACTGATGATGACCTGAAACAGGTCCCGGATTTTGGATCTCAGATCCGCAAGACTGGTGGATCCTTTCGTGAAGTGCACCAGGAACAACTGGTCACGGAAGCTGGTATTGTTGATGGAACGGCGGTTCATCTGGAACACGGCCTCAGGTTGGAGCCCAAGCCGTTCCAGCTCGGACTTCACCGCAGTCGCCTCGAACGACGGTAATCCACGCAAAACCGCTTTCAGTGGCTTGCTCGATGGCAGATCATGCGTGAAGAAGTCCACGTTGTTTTCCTTCAGGAAACATCCTATTTGTTTATACTCCTCCAGGCTGGAGCACATGATTTTGGTACCGATGCTGCAAAGCTTAAAGCGAGGCAGCAGCTTGTGTTTTGCCAGTTCGGCACCTAGCTTGGCAACATCCTTGACCGGCGTGAAAAGCGAGGGAATTTGTTCTTTTCTTGCAATGGGAGCGGCGTCACCATCGCCATTTTCTTCCGGGAGTACTGCATACTGGTTGGCTTGCAGTACTCGTTTTCCGGCGTCATCCTGCGACGCGCTGGGCTTGATTAGCACCTTCTTTGAAGGGCCCGCTGTTGACTCATTGGCACGTTTACGCACCATTTGTTTCGTGTTTGCAAGTTCAAGTTAACTTGCCAGAACGCGAGAAGGTGGCGACACTTCCACGGCGCAATGCGACAGCACAAAGCGAAACAAAATCGAAACGAGATCTCGAGCGAAAAATACGGACTGAACGGACTCAACAGTCGAGTAAAGAATCGAACGCGCAGTTAGCTACCTGTTATATAGACAACCAGCTCTGTCGGTACCATATTTTCTCACTTCTCTTTGGTTACTGTGTATAGCCAATAGGAAGCGAAAAAATATGGTACCGGCAGAGCTGGTTGTCTATGTAACAGGTAGCTAACTGCGCCTTCGCATTAGTTGCGATTCACCCGTTCAACGGTAAACAACCAGGAGGCATGACTGGTCGTGGCAAGGGTGGCAAGGATTTGGTAAAGGAGTCGCCAAGTGTCATCGTGTGATAACATCCAGGGCCTGCCATTTGTCGTCTGGCTCGACGTGGTGGTGTCAAGCTCATCTCCGATCTGATGTACGAGGAAACCCGAGGTGTGCCGAGAAAATGTGATCCGTGATGCCGTCACTGAATACGCAACTGCCTACACGTCATCATCATCTTCCAAAGCCTGTACTACCATCGGCCCTTTTCAGGGCCACCAACATTTTCCAAAAGAGTTAATTTTCTGAACATGTCTCAACTAAAATTCATACCAAAAGGTTCTTTTCAGGGCAATCATAATCATACTAAAAAGTATAAACGGAGAGAACCCCGCTTAAATTCCTATTCCTACACAAAACACAAGCTCCTGCTGCAGTTAACAAACATATTTATTATATCATACCACGTAGTCCTACGTCATCATTGCGTACATACCCATTGGGCTGTCCCTTGTAGTTTTTATTAAAGTAGAAAGTATTTCAATTTGGAAGATTTATTAGTGTTTAATTGCAAGATTTAAGATTCCAATTCCATGGCATTGATTTTTGATATAACTGCATTTATTGGTAGTTGAGCTATTACAAGATTCATTTAATTGAAATAAATTCAAATTTAATTTGAAATGTTACTCGGACATGCTTGCGAGCTCTGAGTTTTCGATTTGAACACTTATCAGAAAAATTCATTCTAGCTTCGAATTAATTTAAGATACATTTAGGATAGGTGGGATTAAATTTTGAAAAAATGTATGGAATTTTTCAACTAACTTCAAATCTTTGCCCCGCCTCAATCTGCCTGAATGTCTAAATTTTGAACGTTTACATTATTACAGCTTAAATATTTCCTTTTTTCTCTCCGACAGGCACAACTACAAAATCGGCGACATCTTCAAAGAACTGATGGGCTACCCGGTGGGTGGCACGGCACCCAAGTTGGAATTTGCCCAATCGATTAGAAGCAAAAACAGATGTACAATTCTCTAGTAGTAGCTGTAAGTGCGCTGGTTGGAGGATCACCACGAGGTGCCACACAGAGTTGCAGCAGCCTTCCGAAGGGGAATTCATTTAGGAGTGAGACATAAATAAGCACAAATTGTATGAGGGGGTTAGCTTGGTGAGCGGCCCACCGTGAGAAGCGTGTTCGAAATCAAGCCTAAAACCTAGTGTTACATATTAGCGAAGTAGCAGTTGCGAAAATGTAGGTATGATCGGACAACAACAACAAAAAACCAATGCGAAATCATGTTGACTATTGATATCTAGGAAGTTAATCGTAAAATCAATCGTCACACTTTTGTGTCACCAGCAGACTGTGTAAAATAAACCCGTGATTAAAGACAGATGCAAGCAGAAACGAAGAACGGATCAGCAAACTATCCATTTAGATTAGGGACAATAGAGATAAGACGAGTCGTGTTGTGGATATCGAATCAACCATACCGTAGCTGGCTGTATTAATGTTTATGTAACTGTGTCTGTAGATCTACTCAAAACGTCAGGACGAAGCACTGTACACTGTGTAAGAATAGCGTCATGAAGGACGAACCGCAGATCCACTGATTGAATCATCAATCTTACTCGGTGCTTTTAGGGGGTGGAAAGGAGGCCAAAATTAAGCACAATCTAAGCAAGGACGAATGGCACCGTTCTGAGTAGCTAGATCCTCAGCCTCCATCACTGGGAACAAAAGTGGATGTGATGCACGTTTTCAGACAAAAGCGAAAGGATTGTTCATAGAGCAAATAACTACACAGGCAACAAAAGGAGATCACAAATAGTCTGTCACGAGCACCGGCTTTCGAGAGCAGCAATCATTGTTGTTGTACTCATCATAATCGGGTTCGGCCAGATGAACAGCTAAAGTGGTTTTATTCTCTGCATCTGGAAGGGGGCTAATGAAGTTGTTACCTGGTACGCTTCAAAAGAGGGTGGATAATTTAGATTACAGTTGATTTTAGTTAAATTTCAGTTCTTAGAAGCGGTTGGGTTTGCATGGAAAGGATTGATGCTTGTATTTTTAATCAAATTAGAAAGGATTAAATATTGTATACATTGATAGCTTATTTTGTTTTCTTCTGTTTGAGAAATCTGAGAAAACTCTAGTTTTTCAGTCAAGGGGTTTAACATTTTTGCCTTAAATTTGAAAAATATTTACAAGATCGGATTGGGACGAAAAGGAACATTATAAGACTTATGTTGCAAATACCAGAAGAATTATGTGAATCTCTTGATGAGAGCTATATATTCAAGCCAGGACATTCAACACATGTTCAAATAAACGCTTTTCGTGTGTCATTAGTTTAACAGATAGCACCTTGCTGCGAGGTTAATTTTAATGTTCAAGGCAACCAGTCCTCGTCGATCGGTTTCATCAACAAAGACAATCATTCTTTATTTGAATTTTCTTAACATGTTTCCTTTCTATACTGCATACTCTCGAAAGCTGCTCAAACTTACAAACGAAACCTCGATGTTCGCACACTATTGCCAGCGACTTAAATGTAAAATTGGGAAACCTTCACTAACCGATAGGTTGTTGTAGTTCACAAAATAAATAAATAAATAAAAACATTCGTACAGGATTTAGACACGTTAGAGACAATAACCGGTTGCCGATAGAGGCTTTTAAGAGCAAAAATAAACTTATTAATAAACAACAACAATAGTTATCACAAGCCACGGTGAAATATGTTAAACTTCAGTTACAAACGCAGAATAAGTTGAAACTGTTAGCTTCATAGCTGGAACATCAATCTTTAGCTACAGAACATAACGTACTGTAATTTGCAAGAAGAAATTTCCATTATATATATATATACAAAAAATCGAATCATACAAAGCATAAATGGAACGCACCTGCTTAAAACAATGCCTGTTTGAGTGAAATTTGCGGCTGGGAAAGTGCCCTCGGCCTCCGAGACAATGCCAATATCAATGTGTTAGTGAGCTTCAATGTTATACATTTGTCGGTAGCTGTTCGAAAAAAAAAAATAAAAAATACAAAAAAAAACAAAACGCTACTTTAAACAGGAAACAAGCCATTGCTTGTCAAATGCCTCAGAACTATTTTGTACATATGTTATTTGCAGCCGCTCGTTGTTGACTAATATGTGTGCCAGTAAGCTTATTTCACATGTTCATGCAGTGTTATTAAATTACCGTACGAAAGCAAGACCATTCCTTCAGCCAGCTTGAGGCTAATCAATCAAATAAATAATTATGAAATGATAAGCACCAAACCCTCATCAAGGACCAATCTATCCCGACGGAATGTCTTTACTACCGGAACCGAAATACCAAGCTATGAGATGCCTTTTCCATGCTACAGACTGGCGATTACGATGATTAATGTATCAATGTGTGCGTGTGTACATTGTTCATTGTGGTAGATTTCCATTCTCCATTTCCTTCCATGTGGACATTTTGAACATTACATTACGCCCATTTAAAACGAAAATGTCTGTGTCTACCAATATGATTGTATGAGAGAAGCTTCAGTGTCCTGTTCTAACTGGAGTATATGTACCAGACCAGGTTGGCTGATGGAATGATTTTGAGCGACATTGTGCCGTGGATTTTAAATTGTACATTTGAAGGAAACCGTTTTACCAAACATATACATATAGGACGTATTTTACGCGAAACGAGTTGGTGATTATCAAGTAGTGATTATTGAAAATGAGCAATGTTAGTTCTATGAACAAATAAACATACACACGGAATGAATTGATGCGATGTTGAGATGTTGCTTTTCCTGATATCACGTCCTATCATGGTGAAACCCGAAACATTTTCGATGACCTAAATGAACAATCCACAGTTTCGTCTTGTTTATCTTCGGAATGCAATGGGAAACAAGCATATCTCATTACCATCTACTTATGACTCAAGGAAAAAGTGCGATCCAATGAGCATATGGTTAAACACACTTTCAGCGGTGCTGGCCAATGTTAAAGACTGGATGGCTACATTTTTGACGTAGACTTCGGTATTAGGTTTTGAACGCTTATAACTTTGTCATTTATAGATGGAATTAACATCCAGATTCACCAATCAATAGGAAATTGCAAATTTTCCTTTAATATTTTTTTTTAATGTTCAAACAATAAGTGATAATTTTATCATTGTTTTCATTAAATGAACGATTTCCCCAAACCCAGTCGTCATAATCGAGTACCACTCGATCAGCTTGAACCTGAACAGTTATAAAAGAGCGCTGCTGTCATGCCTCCGCTCTGATCATCATTCTCTGCTTGTTCGTCAAGCAGTACAGTCCGGTATTTGCTCGCTCTGTCGAGTTGTTCGATAGTTATTCCAAACGTTTATTCGCGTCGTCAGTAGTGTCGGTCGCATCGTGTGATGGGAAGACAGCGCTCCCGGAGCAGGCTCCGTGAGAAAGCGGAAAAGAACAGTGGTGAGTGTAGCACGAGTGTACCTATTTCAAATAGGTACGCTACTCTTCCCACCGATGTTGGGAATACCACCTCCGCCACGGTGAAGCGATCCAAGAAGAGGAAGAAAAACCAAGGCCAGTCCGATGGTGCGAGTGGACGTGATGACGTCACAGCAACGAACGCCAGCGACATCGGTGATTTCGGCGACACCATCGACAACGAAAATTCTGCCGGCCCGAGTGCGGCAAAAGTGAAGCTACATCCATTGGTGGTAAAAAATGCTCATCTTGATAAGTTATACATGTAAACCACACAAATTCAAGAAATATAGATCATTTAAGTAAGTAAGTAAGTAAGTAATGCCTCCGCTCTGATTCTCTGCTTGACTGTCAAACAGTACAGTTCGGTTTTTACTCGCTCTCTCGAGTTGTTCGCTAGTACGTTGCGATAGTGGCGATCAATCGATACGCCATCCTTGAAAACGGTGATGAATGAAGGTGGAAATGAAAGAGAAAGTTCCACTGTTCTTCGTTAAAGGATTCCCGGAAGGCTTGCGGGAGAAAGTCTACTTTTACGTCGGTAAAGGTCAGCGGTGCCGGTGGTGTAGTGGTATGCGTGATTGCCTCTCACCCCAGCAGGCCTGAAATAAATCCCAGTCACCGCCGCCGGGATGTTCTGAGGCATAATTTCTCTGATCACGCTTTCCTTCGGAAAGGAAGTAAAGCCGTTGGTCCCCGGTCTATGAGTTGATGGGTCGATAGGTGGTAGGGTCCAGGTGTGGGAGCTGCCTCCCCGGTAAAGGTCTCAAGTGTACCATGCGTCTGTCCACTGAAGGCCTTAAACTGATGGTAATAAAAGGCCGTCGAGACGTCGTTAGCGTTAGCGTTGTTATGATATACTTCGTAGATTGGATACTAGCGACACTCACGTCTCTTCTGAAATTCTCAGTTAGACTACTTTCAGGAATAATGCTGGGGAGTAAACATTGGTTCCAATCTAAACAAGAGTAACAGAAGCATGACTGTCGCTATTCCCGGCCACGCCCATCTTTACCATAACTAGGTATAGGGAAGGAAATGTTGGTGTAGTACTTACTTAACGAGAGGCCACCGACTTAGCGACACCCTCATAAGTGCTACGGAGTTGAAGGGTTGGGTAGGATATTCGGTTAGGATTCACCTCAAGTTGGTGATGCAACCAAAAGTATGTATTGTTTATTTATTGTTTATTTAATCTCTCGATAGCCGGCTATCGAAAGAACATATTCATTTTGTTTAGTGATCATGAATTTTAAGAGTTACGACGGAGAGCATGGGATTAAACCCATGATTTTCTGCTCAGTAAGCAAAACGATCCCTCCAGGGTCATCGAGCATCTCAGAACCATAACGCTTCGTGACAATACAGGATTACGTTTTCGCTTGATATGCAAATAGTTTCAGAGGTTAATGTTCAATATCAAATATACAAATGATGGTGGCGATTTATTGTGCTGTGGAAGAGCTTGGGGTTAAATCCATGATTTTCTGCTCAGTAAGCAAAATCGATCCACAGCGCTTCGCGTCAAAGTACGAATATATGGATGCACTATCTATTATTTACGAGAATTGCATGAAAGAAATAAAATATAAACTACAAACAAAACGTGACTACTAAATTCTCAAAAAGATATTCTTACAAATATATATCACGCAACCAGGAATCTTAAAACCATTAGACGCTATAATAATACTCTGCACATGTTAGACACAAGAAGAGGCCAAAAAGCAAGCGTCCGACACACAAAACCCGCCAGATCCACTTGCAGTCACAATCAACGATTCTACGAAACGCGAGCGCTCACCCGCCTTCCAATCTCCTCCCGCATCCAACAACACAAATCTTCATTACAACATCTAACGAATTCAAAACTCCGAAAATCACTCATCTATAGCAAGTGAGTGGAAGCAACCCTGCATGCAACCATTCTTCATGATACACTTTTTCTACCTATCTTTCTATTAGGCCTGTGGACATGCGTTAGCTTCGAAACTTCTAACCAAACTGGGAAAATTTTCAGATCGCAAAAAAAAAATTGAGGAAAACTTTCAAAGGTAATTACAAGTAAAATAAATATTGATTATTTAACGCAAAAACGAGCAAGTAATATTAAATTTTTTGTATCGTATGCTAATGCTAATCGACTGTTACAAAAATAATATGCTTAAATAAAATAAAATATTAATAAGATTATATGCAAAATTTACTAGAAGATCATTACTTTATTGGTGAGAAGTTTCTAATAAGCCCTCCCAGTTCCTCTGTATACAGAACAAATCTGATACTATAATCAGAATTGCTCAGTCTGCATGAAGCAGCCGATTTCATCAAGGAAGTTCTATTAACAACCAAGAATTAATCGTTTGAGGCATACTGAAGCATTAATAAGGTGATTTGTGTCACTATAGGAAATAATAATCGTTGCAAATATAAAGAAATTAAACATAACCCTTTGCTTCAGTACCGTCAACCTCCATGTCCATGGGGAGGGAATAAAAGGCCGTCGAGACGTCGTTGAAGCAGAAAAATGTGGAGTATTTCTCCCACGATATTGAAGTGACCAAGCCACTCAAGGTGG